CTGTACAGTATGCATACATGAAGCGAAAATTAGAAAACAACATGTCAATCTTCAAAAAATGAAAGATCACAATATATACAGAAAATAAAATTTATTTGCCTTTGTGGAGGCCATAACCTGGCAACTGCAGCTATTATTGAATCAAATAGTGTTCTTTTCCGATTTTCACTGATATTTAACTGTTTATTGCATCATCGGATAGAAGCTAAATTTTCCAGTCTCAACACTATATGAAGTGCAAAACACTTAAAAAAGGAATCCTGGAACCATAAAACAAATTCTCAGCAGAAAGACATTTTTCTTTCCCTGTAGTTTTTTACATTACATCTCCAATTACTTCACACCTCCCAATAAATAATTTCCTTTCACACAGTGTGTAAAATTCCATGCTCTTAAAAAAAAGGGGGACTCTGCTTCAGTTGGTCGTTAAATAAATATGGCTGACTTTTAGCAGGGATTCCCAGCTGGTTCAATGCTGACCCCTCGAGGTCTATGATTAGAGGGGGTATGCCCAAACACGCACCGCAACTGGCTGGTATATCAAAATCCTATTAACTAAAAAAAAAAAGTATTCATAAAATTGATAATTGTTCAAGGCTATGCCGCTATATCCCGTATCAAGGAAGAAATCATATAAAATTAAATGCAAGGGGACAAATATACCAAAATTACTGGTACTATTCGGTTTTGAGGGCCGTAAAAAACTTGCAGCGAAAATGTATGCGCAAGATCTAGCAAACGCGCCCATTTAACAGCACGCCAAATCTAGCATACGCATTGATTTCAGATAGCGTTAAGTTTATATAGTTCTATATTTCTTAAGACGCCATTGACATAGTAGTTTAATTTTTAAATCCTTTTTTTTTGATTTTAAGGGGTATCAGAAACCCCTATACCAACAATGTTAAATTGGCCATTTTCGATGTACCTTTTCTCAAAATCTGCTGTAGATACAAGCTTGAACTTTTTTCTGTAATTAAAGTATACCTATCTGATTATACTGAAATGAGCTTTTGAAACATTTTGAATTTTAGAGTAAATTACAGAATATTTTGTTAGGCATAGTAAAATTTAGCACTTTTCTCACACAAAAAAATTTTAATTTTTTTTTTTTCTTAGTTTATCACAAAAAGCTCATTTCAGTAAATATTAGGGAACCTAATATATAAGCCATAAAAAGTTTAGATACCTGTGAGCTGAGTAAAGGTACATCGAGTATAAAAAAGTCACGCTTGGAGAAAAACGCGTTTTTATGTAAAAATCCTCATTGATCAAAGCGGTAGATGACAAATTAAAACTAGATTTTTTTTTTTTTTTTTACACAGTTCTAACATTTATAGAGATTAAAGAATGGTATTTTTAGAAAGATAAAAGTGTAGAGAATTTGAAAATGCAAAAATCCGAAAATCACAATTTTTTGAAGATTTTGGGGTTCCATCACCCCTTAAATCCTTTTTTGATATCCTATGGATTTAACAATTTGGGAATTGCCCATGACGAAAAGTCGGCAATAGAATTTTGGGTGCAGAATCACCCACTGCTTGATGCATTTTTAAGAATTGCACATACTCGGTATCCATCTGCACATCAATCTATTTTCACTTGGAAAAAATCCTAGAATTGCACAAAAATGGCACTGCGCACACCCTTGACTTTTATCTATGTACACATCAACCTATTTTCACTTAAAAAGTAAAAGAAAATTGACAAAAATTAAATTGTTTCCAACGTTGTAAAAAGCGGCAAACAAATACGTGAGCGATTCTGCACTTTACCGAGAATATTTTCAAAGAAAAGGCATTATTCATTATAGAATATTACGTTTGAACAACCAACGAGATGAAATTATGCTTTAGCGATAAATCGGTAGCGAAATTATGCTTTACGATAGTCGGTAGCGAATAACTCATCCATTCAGTTATGTTTAGCAATTTCTATATAAATTATAATAATGATCTGAAATAGTTATTTACTCTTATGCTTACCATTCAGTCATGTTTAAGTCTTTTTCCATATAAATTATAATAATAAAAAAGTATTATATGAAATTAAGCTTTCATCTAAATTAAAACATCAATCTTAGATAGTTATTTACTATTATACTTCCTTTCTTGCCACAATTATTTTTGGTAGCATTGACATCAATTTGGCATTTTTTACGGCCCTTGAAATTGAATAGTACCAAATTACTTTATTTTTTTATGAGAAATTTCTTATGCAATAATAGCAATATTAAGCAAAACAGTAGAACAGAAGAAAATACAATTTTTAAAAATATGAAGAACATAAAACTAGAACAAGAAACTGATCTGGAAAACAAGAAACTAATCAAATATTTTTGATGATGTGATTTAAAAATTAAGCAATTTTACGCCAAATATTATAAATATTGCATCAATAAATCAAGGGCAGTCATCACACCAATTAGCATGGAACTTTTCTGAGTTAGAATCCGAGACTTCGCTTCTGAAAACTTGTTTGGCCTAATAACTAACGTTCAGTACTTTTACCCCCAACGCAGACTCTACAGAATTAATTACAATAGCTTGAAAGTGTTTAATTATATACTTATAATATACAACTACACAATTTGAAAACTTTTACATTATACTGTTAAATTACTTTTATATTTGTGAATCACAGTTTCTGTTCCAAGACAAGTAACAGAATAGTCATATTCCTAAATAGAACAACAAAAAATTCACTAACAATCTATAAGGGACAGCTAGAGGTAAAATTGTATAAAATATGAAATGGGTATTCTGGAAAGGAACCCTGGTGGGTTTTCATCCGCAGAGAACCCGTTGGCGCTTCGGGAAAGAACCCTTTGGCGCAGTTGCAGTTTTACTCGCCAATGATCCGAGCCGTAAGCGTGATTTTTTGTAAACGTGGTTTTTAGTGATGTAAATTCAAGTTAGCAGACAATGGTAGTAAAAATTCACAGATAATAAGTATGTAGATATGAAACTAACAGGTTAAACGCGATATACGAAAATAAATTTCTATTAAATTCAAGTTAGCACAGAAAACAATGTATTAAATTCATTTAAAAAATAACAATTAGTATTCTTATACTTACGTTTACAATATACTTATATGTATTTTCTCTAATTCATATAGAATACTAATATTTCTATTACAAATGTCTTTTTTTCACTATTAAGTACTTTGCCTGTTGATTGATGTATTTCGGTAAGAGCCATGTAATAAATTAATGAATGTATGACCTTTAATATATCCATTTTACATAGTTTTAAGTATTTTTTTTTTTTTTTTTCAAGTTACTTGCATACAGCTTAAAGCATCTTACGTTGAAACAAAATATCCTTTTGTCTAATTTTCATAATATAAAACCTTCAACAGTAATCAAATTTTCTTCAGTAGCATTGTTAATAAAACTAAGAACTTTATTACATTTTAAAATTATTATAGGGGTTGGAAACCTCATGGTTCTGCGTGCTTACAGTTAATAATTAAGAACATAACGTGAACAGCCATGTTACAAATTAGCATTCACCCCTCCCGCCATAAATTTCTTCCTTTGATCCCGAACTGACGACCCGAGAACCGGCATCTTTCGACGAAAAGTTCTTTAATATGCGAAAAATTTCTATCTATTCGTTGTTAAAAATTCAGAAAAAATAATAATAAATAAGAAAAAATAATATAAATCTCCAAATGCGAACGACGACAACCTTCGCATAAGCAAATAGGATGAATTAAGCGAGGTTACCAGGTTTGAACTATTATCGCGAACATTGGCGATGTTTACATTTACCGGGTTCTCTGCGGAAGTGCTTACAAATATTACATTTAAGGGAGGGAATTTTTGTTTACAAGATATATTTAATAAGTTATTTTATTATTTGAAAAGACATATTCATCCCCATTTCTTCCCTTCAACTTCCTAGGATTTTTCAGGTGAGCAGGAGTCCTGACACAGAAAACAGCCCCCCTGGAGTTGAAATTTATTAACCAAAAAATTCACTTTTTCTCATCTTTTAGAAAATCTCAAAATTTTTATAATATAAAATTTCATTTTTAAAATCTCTTGGTAAAAGTGATGACAGATTACACAGAATGATGCAAAAAACACACTATTTTTTAAATAATCATATTTATATTAACTAAGTTAATAAATTATGTAAACTGGAGTTCCTGATGCATATGCAAGAAAAGTAATGCACTTCATTAAAAATGTCAGTTGATTTTTATCACTTTAATCCAAATTTTACATATCCTGCATAAATATCAGTTATTTTACTATTATTAGGCAAAATTTACAGTCTGTATATTAAAGTACACTGGCTAATGAATGGCTATCAGAAAAAATGCTTCCCAAACATGAACACAGTTTTAAGTCAAATTTACATTCCGATCAATAAAAAAGATGAGTATTTCAGAGATTATTATGAATATTAAACAGAATCTATGATTAAGAACAAAACTTTTGATATATATTCTATTAAAGATGGAATTTATTTTTAACTGCGAAATTTATCGTCGATTTGGCAGGGCTGAAAATCAAATTTGACGGAAAATAAGACGTTATTTCATTTCAAGGAATGAAACATTCCATTTTCAACATCTATCAATTCCTCCAAATATGGAAGTTGTAACTAGCTTTTTAGCTATTAATTTAAGAACACGGTCTTATACATCATTATTAACTAACCGTAAAATCCTCGCCACTAAAAATACTGCTATTCTTCATAAGTCAGCATACGACAAAAGAAATGAGATATCAAATTCAAATTACGCTCCCGTTTGTGTGTATGTTGTTTGGTTTGGATATAAGAAACAAAAATAGCTGATAATGCATAATTTGATTATAAAAGTAACATACATGCATACAAAACACAACTGATGCAAGAACCTTAATGATGCTGAAAATAAATACGATGCACAACCCCAGAAATAAATCAAAAAATACTTTTAGACAGGAACTCTTAAAAATCAAGAACTGCGAACAGTATTAGGCAAAAGAATTAAAATCTTACCCATTCAAGAATACTTTTTCGTTTGGATTCGTGAAGCATATTGAATTATATCAGCTAGATTTCCATTGATTAATTACGGTTAAATATTTTGCGAAAAAAAACCAAAGATTTTCCGTTGCATTCAGAACAAAATTCGCCGCTCTCACGCCAATGCAAACACTCTCCTTCTTCAGACAACCAACGGCTAGTATGATGCTTGCAACTGAATTGTAGATGGCGCTGCAAGTTATATCGCTGGTTTGCGTCTGGAACGTTCACTTTCAGTTTTCTCTGCGCAGAACAGACAGATATTAACGGGCAGATTTTTACTATTTTATTATCGGTCACATGACATAGTAGTTGCGTAATCACGGCGAAAATTAATTTCTGTCGCTAGAAGTCTCAGAGCTCTTCCAAAAAGCAGCAACAACTGCAAATAAAAATAAATATAGTGAATCCTCTCTAAAAGATGAGAATCCATAATTCCGGAGAATTTGGGTATGCAAGTGGTCGTTTTACAGAGGTGAAGTTCAATAACAAGTTTATTAATATTCTCAAAAATACTGATCACTTTCGAAGGTAATCGTCTTATGGAGATGGTCGCCTGTAAAATGCCAGTCCTGAAGGTTGCCTGTCTAAGACAAATCACCTCGGTAGATGACCAAAATAGTCCGGAACTATATATAGGTCTTATAAGCGCGTGCACTACATTCTGTATTCTGTTCCAGTGATTTTGCAAAGCATTCTCCGAAAATAATAATTTCGTAATTCTGATTGTTTCTGCCCACTGTGCTATTAATTACAGTGAACCCTCTCTTGGTGACACCTGATTAAGACAGCCACCGTTGTACATAATCCGTATATGATTCAGGTGTCGATTTGCCCAAAACTTAAATTGCGCAGGAGTCTAGCTCAGGCATAATTATTTTTAATTTTTCAGGTGAATTAAATTCTAGGCAGAACGCTAGAAGGCTCCGGCATTTCTTTTATGTAAGTGAATTACAATATTAGAAGGAAATTCTTTTGATCTCAAAAAATTTATTTTTAATAATAAATTAAAAATCGATTCTAACTTCTGAATGAATGCCTCTCTTTTCATGAGAAACAAACCCTTGGATGGAACTTGAGACTTTTAAGGAAAGAAAACCCGCCACCCACATGTCAGAAGCTTATTGGATGTGCAATGGATTTATGACAGCTGGTAAATTTTCCGTTTCAGTGCTTCCCGCAGAAAGTAGACTTTTTACAAAACACAGAGCTCGGAGATTGTCACTTTGTCCTAAATCTCTCGGATTCGGGGGAAATTTGTTCTCAGTCACATTCTTGTCAGCTATTTTACTGATATTATATTGACAGGAAATCATGGTCAGAAAGAGCTGGACTATTCTCTGCTTGCTATCATAGCTGTACATTCTCCGTTAAAATTTCTTCTATATTCTATTACTGTCTATAACATTCTGTCCATTCTCATTAGACCCACCAGCGGCCGAGAGGTAAAGTCGTTGAACACTAGTAGTTCGGTCCGAGGTTCGAATCCCGCGAACGGGCTGGCAGCATGGGTGTTTTCGTGGTTTTCCCCATGTGTAACGTGTATACGAGCCAGTTTCCCTTAGAAAGCCCTTCACGAAGGCGTCTCTCCCCTTAGGCGATAGTCCTCGAGGCTTTGCCGTAATTAAATACCCTAACCATTCTCATTAGTGACGCATTTAACGGTTTTACCATTTTTTTATTGTCGTGCTAGAAAAAGAGCTGTCTTTATCATATACCGAAGTAAAACATTATACTGTGTATTTAGATCTTAGGACAGGATACCGGCTGAGTTGTTTTTTTTTCTTTCGAGTGAAACTGTAATTCCAGCCGGAGCTTTAAATAAGTCGAGGTCCAGTATTTTATTTTATTATTTCACTATTCAACATTTGCCTAAATCCAAAGGCATAAGCTAGAAGGGGGCTGTCCCCGGGCGTAGCATCCAGAAGGCGCTGGACTGATGTTACTAAATTTTAGTATTAAATGTTTCTATTCTTAGTATACAGGGAGAGGCGCGAAATTTTCAGTTGTCCTCGGGAGCTGAAAACCCTACCTACGACTCAGCCCAAATCATTTTTGTTCAGTCCCCCCCCCCTCGTCGAGACATTTGCTGAAGAGTGTCTGTTCCCCCAGTTCACTGGTGATCAGATATTAAGCCTACAAAAAAATACCACAGTGATATTTGCCCACACGAATGAAAGCATATAAGCTGATACAAGTAAAAGCCCACAAAAATAAAAGGACATAATGACTTTTATCAATATAAAATATATTTATGATTGTTATTATAACGGTACCGCCCAGACGGTACAGTTAGCTAGGAGATCCGACTGCGGTACCGAAAGGCTTGAGTTCGAATCCTGGAGAAGGCATGGCTGTAACTGTCCGTCTATCCATAGGAGGCAATGGTGGCCGCCTGTTAGGTGCCTCCATAATAAAAAATGGCCGCATCATTTCTTGCCTTAGAAGTGGCCAATGATGAAATAAGGCAAGTGCCCGCCATTAGATTAAAAAAATATATAACAAACGGAAATATTTGATGTCTTTTAATTTTTTTTATGTCTAAAAATACATCTGTTTATATATTCATCACCACCTTATTTATTAATTTTATCAGGTCAGAAAAAGGCTTTTCCGCTTTCCGTTTAAATAATTAGTTGTAATGTTTCGTATTTATTTATTTGTTAATTTTATTCATATTTACTTATTTATTTTATGTGTGCAAATGAAAACGCTCATTGTGAAAGCTCATGCTATTTTTAACGTTATATGGCTGAAATTAATTACAGGTATATTTCACCATTTAAACATGGAGGAGATGTTAGTTGAATATCCAATATTAAATAAAATTCTAATTTTTAAATATTAAGGAATATATTTTTTTCCCTAATTTTAATGGCAGCTGTACATCTTTCAATCCTTTTCATATAACGATCTTTTTAGCTGATTGCAAATTTGTAAAAATTCCTTAAGCATATTTCTTCAATACATTAAATTCTTTTCAAATTACAAATATACTTCAGTTCGTTGAAAATTTGATATGGGAAGCAATTTTCTAAGAACATTCCTCAACTAAATATATCGTTTAAATGCATTATAATGTGCATTATAATTATAAATATTTTATTACATCCTTTGTTTTCCTTTTAAAAATTATTAAAAGCGGAATTATTAAAATTATTATTATTAGGAGATATTATTATTATTAGATATATAAACCGATTATATACTGAAAATAAAATTTTAAAAACTTACATCAGGAGAAATATGGAAGTGTAATTATGATTAAAATTATAAAGATTAAGTTAGGTTGTTTGTGTTTCAGCGAAGTGCGTATAGGCTATCTGCTTAAGAGAAAAGATGCCTCTGTGTGGGAAGCTTTCTAAGGAAAACTGGCTCTCATTCGCGTTATACAAAGGGAATAGTATATTATGGGATCTGTTATGGTTACTGTAGTTTCTCACTGTATGTAATTATTACCCGTTGCAACAATACGTTCAAAAGAAACTATTGCTCATTTAGATGTAATGAAAGCAATTTATAAATACTAAAATCGTGATTTTTTTATGCTTCAAACAATAACAATCACAGCTTAAGTACTTGTTATACATATTAAATTCCTACTTAATTAATTCAAAATGAATGAATAATTAAAAATTAATTGTGCTATGTAAAATAGAGAAATCCCCAAAACAGTTGGTTTCTTTTTAAAATTGTCGCATTACTGATTTGCTCGAAACTTTTTTAAATGTTAATTATTTTCAATTGCAACTAATATCAAAAAATTTTCAAAAATTTTAAATCACCGCCGAAAAACCTGTTTAGATGAAACATATTCATAACATTATATTATTGATGAGATGTCTTTCGTTAAAACGAAAGGAATTTTTGGAAATGAAGATTAATGATTTCTTTCATACATTTTATTTACATACATAATGTAAAATATATATCATGTCTACCTTCCTAATAATAAATTATCTCCTCTTTTCATTCTAAATATAGCAAAGCAATAACGTTTCTAATATAATCTTTACTTCCTGTAATTATGAAAATTGATCTGTCATGTGATCTCTGTTGGGTAATTATTCCTAGAATGCAATGAGAACTTAACCCAGCATTCGAATATTAATCTGTTATATATCTCAAATTTAATTCCTTTAATGTAAACATTCTTGTAATGTGATCGGAAATGTAATCATGCCTTTGTATAAAAGTCTTTGCTACGTATAGGATGCTGCTGCCTTCAAAAAATAATTTTTCAAATTTATCGGACATAAAACGTTGTTTAAAAACAAGGCGCTCTAGCACCGATTTTATTTGCGCTGATTAAATAAAAATACGTGTCAACCATAGGAAACAACTGAATTCGGCCACGTCTGCAAATTTCTAGTTTATGCACTTATTTACCACGCCAAGTCATTGCAATGAGCTTCTTTCAATTTCATTACATGTAATTCTTCCAGTTGTATATGTAGGCGTATAATTTGTTTTTACGTTGTAGTTCAAGAGCTAAAGAGGCTTAAAACATTCCGTTACAGCTACAGAAAACATTATTCTGTTCTTTGATTAAATTACCTTTTCCTCGTTTCTTAATATTGAAACATGCGCATAATTAGTCCTAGCCATATAACTTAAAATCGCTTTTGAGGAACTTCAGAAGGACAGTTTTCATTTTCACACATACACAAAATGAATAAATAAACATGAAAAAATAATAAATAAATAAATAAAAATCTGAAAGGTTTCAGATTTTACATTAAGTCCGAAGGGTCGTTTTTTAAACATTTTGTGTGTTACCTTTATTTATTAAATATCATGTTCTTCGCACTTAAGCCATAAAATTCAGTTCAAGAGCAATATGGCAAAATAATTTTAAATTGAGCATATCTATAGAATTTTCCATACACAGTCTCACCAGATAAAAACGTTTTTTCTGTGCAACGTTGCCATGGCTCGCTTTGAAATCCTTGAGTTTGTTAATCAAAAATTTGTTAGCGTTTTACAAAATATGAAATCGCTAGTAAAACAAATTCCAAATTTCAAATTTGGGCTTCCAGATGCCCATATTCGCAGGAGGATTACGTCATTGAAAATTGGATGGCTCTAGGTAGCGTTGTTTTATCACAATGCGAGAAACATACACACATTTATGCAGATTCTTCATTATTTAATTTCTTC